TTTGCAGTGAACGATACGAATCGTCGGGCAACTGGTCACCTGGTGACCTGAGTCGTTCGTGTTCTGCGCGACAAAAGTGGGATTGGGTGCTTGAGCTGCGTCCCACACTACGGTTACTGTATCTGCAACTTCAGTCACCAGTCTACAACAGGTTCTCAGCCGTAAGCATTGCCAACGAGTGCACGAGATGTATCCCATGGATGCACATGCTAGCAAGACGTCATCTAACATGAAGAACCCGAATTTGGGTGGTGATTTGTGTGATTGTGAACGCACGATCCGGGCCGCTATTCCTGCGGAACGGAGGCCTGATCGCGAGCAGGCATTGACGTGCACGGCACGGTCGAACAACGACTTTAAAGGACTTTAGAACGCCGGCTCACCGTTGAGGAGGCATAACGAAAACACTCTCCTGCAAGTGAGACAGTGAAAGGCTTGGGATGGCCGTTGCATGTTTCGACAGGGTATCGAGGTCACCGTGACAACCGGGTTTGTACTACAGATGTCAAGTGATGACGAAACGGTTGCAAAGCGTGCTTCCCGACTCGATTGCCATGCTTCGCGACTTGGTCTGGAGATGAGTCATCAAGACCGCGACAAGGATCGTCGATGCGGCTGACATGCTCTGCAAGCATCTGGCTGGGCTTTATCGGAATTAGAATCATCAGGAAGAAGGTGCCATCACGTGCATGGACGAGCTGGAAGGCTTCTGGTCCTACTTTGACGGGCGCATGGTTTATGTCGTCAAACGGCATCGAAAGCACAGAAACAGAAGCTATTGAGGGTCAGGGATGATGGATACGAGGAAGCAGCAATCGCATGATTACCGGGGCACAGATTCGAGTTCTCGAGAGCATCGCAATGGATTTGATTTGAATTCCCAACGAAATTTCTGCTTTTAACCAATCTATACAGTTCTTCGACGAGAATCAGGCACATTCCGAGACGATGAGCCATGAGATATACCGCCCTTCAAGCCCTCACCCGTGCCGAACATTGCGTCAGCGAGACGCACAATGCCGCCATGCACGTGGAGATTGGGTTCGCACACGTTCAGCCTCGGCTCCACAATGAAGTCAGATCATTCGGTTAAGATTGTGATCCGCTGAACATTGCCTTGATCGACTGGAACGAACAATGTCAGGTCATTGGACGACGAGGATAACATGAAGGGATGCGGCAAGCTGAATTCAACTTCGACAAAGATCATCAAGAGGCAAGTGTCGAATAGCTTCGGTCACTTGGACATGGCTAATCCAGGCTAGTCCTTTGATGAGTATCAAGGGGTTCTGGCCGAGACGGATTACCAGGGAGCTTCATGGTTCTGGCCAACAAGACACGACGCAGGAAGAGGAGATGTCTTGTGGTTGAGAGTAGTGTGTTTTAAGAATGAGCAGCAACAACCTCTTCATCACGTGGTTCATGGATGTGTTGAAAACCAGCAGGAGTGTCAAGAGACGCCCGGAACACTTTGACACCAAGGCAGTACGTAGTGTAGGAATAGACATGTGGAAAATGAAGCAGACAACTCTAACTACCCGAGTAGTGCCGAGGAAGAACGTCCCAGGACTTTCTTTAACGAGGTACTCGTGATGTCAGGACAGCAGATCAGGACGCACAAGACCGCAGACAGAGCCACTTGATCTTCAAGGTGGAGATTCAAGAACGAAACCAGGCACAGCAATGATTAGGACAACATATTTGCATCGTAAAGCGAGAGAGCAGCACCACGAAGCACACGGACCGCACGTCACACCGGAACGGGGCGAAACGCAGCCAATTCAAGGGTACGGCCCATGTCAGCTGAAGCAGCTAGTGATCCACCATCATCCAGCCAGTTTTCACACTGCCGCGTTCAACATACCACATGTGTTTGAGCACAATGATGAGCCGAGGACATCGACTGGGAAGACATCCATTCGGATATACGAGATGCAGACGAAGAACAGGAAATAGTTTTCACGAGTGAAGAATCAGGACCACCAGAGCTTTTCAAAAAAGGAATTCAGCGACGGATCGCACAAACCCATGCGCAGAGAGATTGAAAGACTCACGAAGATGAGGGCCCTCGAAAGAACTTCTTTCAGAGAAATGCGGCTTTGGGGAGGGACAGTGAGGGACAAGAGCACGGGCCAAGGACCAGGAACAGGACACGAGGGAGAGGGAGAGAGAGAGAGAGAGAGAGAGAGAGAGAGAGAGACTTTTTTGACTTTGCATTCGCAGAACAATGTCTTGTCCCCTGCGCGGCTTAGCGCGACATGCTGCGTCGCAGCACGGACAACTGAGGGCTGTGGGGCAATTGCCCACATCGCTCGCACCTATAGACC